CGTGTCAACTTCCTTTTTCACCGGTTTCCGCATTATTCTAATGCGGCGAGTTGGGTGGGGGAGCAGCCACGCCGTTTTTTGTTATAAAATTGCTCCGGGTAAGATAAGCCCGTGAGTGCTTGAATCTCTTTCATCCGGTCATTTTACGCTTCTGCACGGTGCTCTCTACATGTGGTGCGTTCTTCCACGTATTTCTGGCCCAATATGAAATGCGGGTCCTTTTGGGCATTGATTTCAAGCCCGGCACCATCGGCTTCGCACAGGTCCTTCTTTGCGATATTGTGCAAGGACTTTATTGCATTTTTGCATATACTCTTCCTCTGACACAAACCGGATGTGGTTAAGAAACCGATGCATCTTATCATCCAAAAATGTATCCCATGGTGCCGCGACTACGCAAGAAAAGAAGAGGAACGGGAAATATGTAAATGTGTTGTACATTCTAACTTAGGGAAAGGGAAGGCTTACGGACCGGTAAGCACGCCGACGAATGAAGAAATGTAAATTGATTGATCGAAATAGCTATGGACACAGCTTCATCGTAGCCCGCCCATCCGTTGGACGAGTTGCACGTCATTCGGTTATTGCTCTTGCTTTTGTTGCTCCTCCTCGATGTCGTCTTCCTGCTCCTCCCTTTCCTCCTTCCTCTCTTCCTTACCCTCCTCTTCGTCCTCGTCCTCGTCCTCCTCGTCCTCCTCCTCCTATCGTATTTCAGGTTGGCGCGGAAATATTATTGCCGAATGCTTGGATGTTTTTCCCGTATAACGGAAACATACCAAGCCAGTTCCCCATATGCAGATGAAATTTCTAGCACAAATAATGAAAAACAAAGCAATAGTAAAAATACACACGCGCAAGCACACACACACACACATACACACATAAACACATAGAGTCACTACATGGTTTCACCGCTTTTCGGCACGCATAACTGTTTTTAAAACGGGCACGAAACCGAAACCGTCGACAATTAAACCGCAAGGTTTCGGTTTCGTTTTGAGGTTTCGATTTTATTCAACCGCATTTGTGTAATATCGTATTTTAGGTTGCTGCGGAAATTTCAATACCGAATATTTTACGATTTCCTATAGTTTACCCGTATAGTGGAAGCGCAAATATCAAAGCCAGCCCCCCCATATGCATGAGACGAATTCGAATAGAAAAAACGCACCAAAGCAACAATGGCAATGCAAACCCACGCCTACACAAACAGAAACACTGCTCTTCGACACAAAACCATATTCAAAACGGGCGCCACGAAACCGAAACCAATGACAATGAAACCAAAACCTTAAGCGGCGAAACCGAAACCAATCAATAAACCGAAACTTCAAAACGAAACCGAAATTTGAAAGCGAAACCGGATCCCATGTTGCAGCGGTTGTGGTTAAGAAACGAATGCATCTTATCATCCGACTATCTATCCCAAAGTGCCGCGATTACGACAAAAAAAGGAGAGGAACGGGATATTTGTAATCGTGTTGCACATTTTGAATTCGGGAGAAGGTCTACAAACCGGTAAGCACGCCGACGTGTGAAGAAATGTAGACTGCTTGATTGAAATAGCTATGGACACAGCAGTATCGTAGCCTGCCCGTCCGTGGGACGAATTACATGTCATTTGGTTATTGCTCTTGCTTTTGCTGCTTCTGCTCGGTGACGTCCTTCTGTTGTTCCCCTTCCTCCTCCCTCTTTTGGTTATCCTCGTGCTTGTCCTCGTCCTCCTCCTGTTCGTCGTTCTTCTCCTCCTATGGATTTGTTTACGCCAGTTTGGTTAGTTTGGTTCGTTATTACACACGGCTTAGGAAAAGTACGATCCGGAACCGATCCCGGGCGAGCCGTATTTACCGGCAAACCGCGTACACACAAACAATCAAAAACGATATTAATGTTTTCACCGTTTTTCGGCAGCCAAAACCATTTTCCAAACGGGCACCACGAAACCAAAACCAATGATAATGCAAGGTTTCGGTTGTGTTTTGAGGTTTCAATTTTACTCAACCGCAGTCGTATAATACCTCCTCTTTCCTCTCCGCCCATCGCCTCTCCTCTCCTCTCCTCTCCTCTCCTCTTCCTCCTCCTCCTCCTCCTCCTCCTCCTCCTCCTCCTCCCCCCTCCCATCCCTGCCTAGGCTCACCACATGTCCACCATTTCGGCAAACCCTCACACGTTTCGTCTCGTAGGGATCTCCACCGAAGGCCCCAGTGACGGTGGCCACGCGCGTCCGCCAAGCCCATTTCGGCACACCTCTCACACGTTGCGTGGCCCCCTAGCGAGCTCCACCGAATGCCCCAGTGGCAGTGCCCACATGCGTCCGCCACGCCCATTTCGGCACACCCCTCACACGATTCGTGGCCCCATAGTGAGATCCACCGAAGGCCCCAGTGGGGGTGCCCGCATCCGTCCGCCACACCCAGTACAGCGCTTCGTGGCCCCATAGCGAGCTCCTCCGAACGCCACAGTGGCAGTGCCCACATGCGTCCGCCACGCCCAGTACAGCGCTTCGTGGCCTCATAGGGAGCTCCACCGAAGGCCCCAGTGTGGGTGCCCGCATGCGTCCGCCACACCAAGTACAACCTTTCGTGGCACCATAGGCAGCTCTACCGAAGGCCCCAATGGGGGTGCCCGCATGCGTCCGCCACACCCACTGCAGCGCGTCGCGGCCCCATAGTGAGCTCCACCGGAGGCTCCAGTGGGAGTACCCGCATGCGCCCGCCACATTCGCTGCAGCGCTTCGTGGCCCCATAGGGCGCTCCACCGAAGGCCCCAGTGGGGGTGCCTGCATGCATCTTGCCTCACCCAGTACAGCGCTTCGTGGCCCCATAGGGAGCTCCACCGAAGGCCCCAGTGGGGGTGCCCGCATGCGTCCGCCACACACAGTACAACGTTCCGTAGCCCCATAGGGAGCTCCACCGAAGGCTCCATTGGGGGGACCCGCATGCGTCCGCCACACCCACTACAGCGCTTCGTGGCCCCATAGGTCGCTCCACCGAAGGCCCCAGTAGGGGTGCCTGCATGCGTCCTGCCACACCCAGTACAGCGCTTCGTGGCCACATAGGGAGCTCCACCGAAGGCCCCAGTGGGGGTGCCCGCATGCGTCCGCCACACACAGTGCAACGTTCCGTAGCCCCATAGCGAGCTCCACCGAAGGCTCTAGTGGGGGGACCCGCATGCGTCCGCCACACCCAGTACAGCGCTTCGTGGCCCCATAGGGAGCTCCACCGAAGGCCCCAGTGGGGGTGCCTGCATGCGTCTTGCCACACCCAGTACAGCGCTTCGTGGCCCCATAGAGAGCTCCACCGAAGGCCCCAGTGGGGGTGCCCGCATGCGTCCGCCACACCCAGTACAGCGCTTCGTGGCCCCATAGGGCGCTCCACCGAAGGCTCTAGTGGGGGTGCCCGCATGCGTCCGCCACACCCAGTACAGCGTTTCGTGGCCCCATGGGGCGCTTCACCGAAGGCTCCAGTGGGGGTGCCCGCATGCGTCCATCACACTCAGTTCAGCGCTTCGTGGCCCCATAGGCGGCTCCACCGCCACACCCAGTACAGCGCTTCGTGGCCCCATAGGGAGCTCCACCGAAGGCCCCAGTGGGGATGGTCACATGCGTCTGCCACACCCGTTTCGGCACATCCCTCACACGCTTCGTGGTTCTATAGGGAGTTCCACCGAGGGCCCCAGCGGGCGCGGCCACATGCGTTCGCCGCACCCGTTTCGGCACACCCTTCATACGTTTCGTGCCCCCGTAGGGAGCTCCACCGAAGGCTCCAGTGGGGGGGCCCGCATGAGTCCGACAGGCTCATGTTGGCACACCCCTCACACGCTTCGTGGCCCCATAGGGAGCTCCACCGAAGGTCCCAGTGAGGGTGGCCACATGCGTCTGCCACACCCGTTTCGGCGCATCCCTCACACGTTTCGTGGCCCTATAGGGAGTTCCACCTAAGGCCCCAGCGGGCGCGGCCACATGCGTTCGCCGCACCCCTTTCGGCACACCATTTCATATTTTTCGTGTCCTCATAGGAAGCTCCACTGAAGGGCCCAGTGGGGGTGCCCGCATGCGTCCGACCGACTCATGTTGGCACACCCCTCACACGTTTCGTAGCCCCACAGGGAGCTCCACCGAAGGCCCCAGCGGCGACGTTCGCATGCGCCCCCCCCCCGCCCATTCCGGCACACCCATCACACGCTTCGTGGCCCATGGGGAGCTCCACCGGAAGTTCGCACACGGCCCACCCATTCGTCCCCCCCCCCGCCCTGCCCGCACTGCCCCCCGCCGCGTTCTTCCTGCGGCGCGCTGCCTGCGAGCAGAGGGTGTACCGCGTGCGCTCTTCGGGGTTTGCGTGCCCCCCTTCCTTCGTCTCGTCTCGCTCGCGGTTCTCGCAGCTGCATATGGTTGGGTCTTTCGTCAGGCTGATTCCGTTATTCTTCTTTCTCTTCTTCGTTCATCATTTCTTCTTGCTCTTTCCTCCCCTCTTCCATCGACGCCTCCCCCCACCTCTCGCCCTCCCCGTCCACCGACCTGGCCCTGGCTTCCAGATTCTCGTTAGCGATTCGGGGGGTCCCAAGGGTCGCTTGCAACTGAAGATCAACGAGCTCGAGGCAGAGGATAAGGTCTTCCAGGCCGCCTTTTCCGACGTCGTGCCGCTGCGCGTCACGAATCTGGGCGCCTGAGGCATCGAGTGGTCTGCGGGATACGTCGAGCGACGTTCACAGTCTGCGGTTCAACAAAATTGCAGAAGTCCTCATCATCATCATCTGCCAAATTATTTGCTCTCTCAGTTATGCAGAGTACGAACGACGAGAGAATATCCTCGTAGTGTGCCTTCCCCTCCCCCTCATCATCCCACTCCTCCTCCTCTCACCCCTCCTCCTCGCCCTCCTCCTCCTGCCTGCAGCATTCGATGGACGGGCGACACCCTAGGCCAGGATACACAATTGGTGGTGCCCATCTTGTGGGAACTGCCCTTCAAGGTAACTTTGTGCTAGTCCCTTACCGGGATCCCTGATGCATGGTGCTTCCACTTGCTCGCATTTTCGCGGGACGCGCGGATTTCGTGGCGCGTCATACCCAGAACCCCCAGAATCCCAGAATCCTCCTCCTCCTCCTCCGTAGCCATTTTGGCTCAAGGCCATTCTGGCTCAAGCCATGTTGGCTCAAGACCATATTGGGGTCAAGACTGGATTGGGCTCACGTCCATGTTGGGCTTAACCAGCTGCGGTGCCATGTCTTTCTGGATGTACCTTCTAGGATGTTGGACATCGGTCGAGGGTCTCGAGAAGGCGCTATTTCCGTCGAAGCGTCGATCAAAAGCTGCGGTCGAACAAAACAATGGAACGCAGCATTGTGGTTGCTCCGCGAAGGAATTCGATCAGGCGCACAAGCCGTTCCAAGCCAGTATGTTGCAACTATCAGCGCATGCGGAAAAGGCAGGCAATGGCAACACGCGCTGTCAGTGCTCAGTGAGATGTGGGAGGCCATGCTGGAGCCCAGCGTCATCTGTACTACAATTCCGGGCGAAGCGCGCGCGAGAAGGTCAGGCAGTGGCAGCGCCCCAGGCCGCCCAGAGAGCTCGCAGGCCGCCCGGAGAGCCTCCAGGCCGCTGCCCGACGGGCCCGGGAGGCCCCCGGACCGCTGGCGGACTCATCCAGGATTCCCAGATCGCCCCACGACGGCCTCAGGAGGTCCCGAAGACGGCCCAAGACGGTCTAAGAGTGTATCCGAGACGCTTACGATGGCTTCAAGACGCCTTCAAGACGGCCCGAGACGCCTCCACGAGGCCCCCCCAAGACCGTTCCAAGACAGCCCAAGAGGCGCCCGAGACGGCCCCAGGACGGCCCAAGAGGGCCCCAAGACGGCCCAAGAGTCGCCCAAGACGGCCCAAGAGGGCCCCAAGAAGGCCCCAAGAGAGGCCCAAGACCGGGACCGGGAACCGAAAAATCGAGGCTTCCACCCCAACAGGCCCCCAGGAAGCACCAAGACGCCCCAAAGAAACGCTGGGACGCTCCCAAGACTTCCCCAGGAGGCCTCCGGACGCCCCACAGAGGCTCCAAGAGGCCCCCCAGAGGCCGCCAAGCGCCCCAAAAGGCTCCCCAGAGGCCCCAAAAGAGGACCCAAGAGGCCCCAAGACGCCCCCAAACTGCTACCAAGAAGCCCCCAAACTGTCTCCCAGAGGCTCCCGAGAGGCCAACCACGAGATCCCAACCAACATCCACGAGATGTCTTACCCATTACCCAGGCCCGCGGCGAAATTGCCCGCAGGCCACTACAGCCGGTTCGGGGGCCCTACGTATCCCAGCACCCGCACCCTTGGCTGTATCGGGGGCCTCACCGCTGGTCTCTCGGTTCTGCTGGCTTTGACCTGCCAGAGCTCTCGAGACGGCCATCTCGACGGCCCGAGACCCCCGAGATGGCCCCAGGACCACCTTGCGCGGGCCCGCTTACGTGGCCCCTTCACTCTGACGGTGCCTGAAAATCCTTGAGTTTGGGCTGATCGCGCCCAGTCCCAGCGCGATTAGCAAAAACCCATTCCTTTTCACGCTTCCAGGTCAGTGCCCCCGGGGCTCCCCGACTGCTTTCTGAGATCGCCCCTGGACGTGGCCCCTTACACATCGGCCCCACGCGCGGCCTCCAAACGGGACCCCCAAAGGCGGCCCCCACACACAAAGCCTCCGAAGGTCGCCCCTACCGCCCCAGTAAGCGTGGCCCCCGAACGTCAACCCCACGCGTAGCCCCCAGGCGCCTCCAAACGTGGCCCCAACACGCACAGCCCCCAACCATTGCCCTCAAACGTGACCGTCACATCTGCCCCCGAACCCCACACCCTCAAACGCGACCGTCACATGTGCCCCCGAACCCCGCACGCGGCCCCCAAACATGGCCCCCGGCAGGGCCGCGAACGTTGCCCCCAACCATGACCCCCTGACGAGACCCCCCAACGTGGCCCTCAAACGAGGCCCCCCAACGTAGCGCCCAACTCTGGCCCCCACGCGTCCACCCCCCACATCGAACTTCTCGCGCACAGGGACTCTGTAAGATCGTTGGGGCCCCCTTACTCTGATTGCGTCTGAAAACCTACGTGTTTCTGCTAATCGCGCCCAGGCCTCGCGCGATTAGCAAAAACACATTACTTTGACGCTTCCCGCGCTTCCGACACATGCGCGTTCGGGACCAATGCCTGGACCTGCGGGCCGTGGATTTTCCACGGGCTCACACTAGTCAGCTACAGCGTTGGCATCAGCGCGTGCGAGAAGGGCGAGCAGTGGCAGCGGGCGTTGGCGCTGCTGAGCGAGACGTGGGAGACGAAGTTGGAGCCCGACGTCATCTCTCCTACAATGCAGTGTTCAGCGCGTGTGGCAAAGCTTTCAGTGGCATCGAACCGGCCTCCTCCGGGCCGCTCCCAGCAAGCCCTTCGGCGCTCTAGGCCGCCCCAGGCAGCCCCCGGGGCCGCCGCGGAGCCTTCGGAGCAGCCCCAATCGCGCAGCAGACGGCCCAAGACCGCTCCAGATCGACGCGGCACGTCCCGCAGACGGCTCCAGGACGGCTCCAGACGCTCCGAAGCCGCCCCCTGAGGCTTCCGAAAGGACCCCCACGAAACAAAAATCGCCCCATTCCTTTCGGAAAACGTACATGTTTGCCAGAGTCGCGTTCTGGGTCGGCAGAGCGTCCAAGAAGGCCGGATGAGCCTCCAAAGCCGCCCCAACATTGCCCCAGAGGCACCCAAGAGCACAACAACGGATCCTGCCAGCTGCCTGGTCCGAACGGCCCTCTTGGGCCTGCGAGCCCCAAGTTTTCCTTCAGCGAGAACGTCGTGGTCGTCGTCGTCGTCGTCGTCGTCCCCGTCGTCGCCGCCGTCGTCATCGCCGTCGTCGTCGTCGTCGCCGATGCCGCCTCTGGCGACGATGACGACGGCGGCGGCGACAACGACGACGACGACGACGACGACGACGACGACGACGACGACGGCCACGGAGAGCCTCAAAAGGCTCCGAGAGTAGTCAACAGCCTGTCACAAGCGAGACCCTTTCTCGTGACAGGTTGTTGGGCCCTGCCTTACAGGCACTGCCCCCTGTTCGGAGGGCACCAACTATACACCAACACCGATCCTGGCCCAGGATCACCCTGGGCCCAGGATCGGTGTATATGCCTTCTTGCCCAAGGCAGGAGGGCGTATACACCGATCCTGGGCCCAGGGTGATCCTGGGCCAGGATCGGTGTTGGTGTATAGTTGGTGCCTTCCTACCTGTGCTTCGATGGTGGTGATCCACCCCACGGGCACACACTAGTCAGCTACAACGCTGGGATCAGCGCTTGCGAGAAAGGTCAGCAGTGGCAGCAGGCTCTGGCGCTGCTTCGCCAGATGGTCGAGACGAAACTGGAGCCCACTGTCATCAGCTACAGTGCCGGGATCAGCGCTTGCGAGAAAGGTCAGCAGTGGCAGCAGGCTCTGGGGCTGCTCAGCAAGATGGTCGAGACGAAAGTGGAGCCCACTGTCATCAGCTACAGTGCCGGGATCAGCGCGTGCGAGAAAGGTCAGCAGTGGCAGCAGGCTTTGGCGCTGCTCAGCCAGATGGTCGAGACGAAACTGGAGCCCAACGTCATCTCTACTACAATGCAGAGGCCCGCCCTTGCGGGAAAGGCGGGCCACGGGGAAAGCGCAGTCGGCGCCCCGGCGGCCTCTGCGAGACTCGGAGAGCCCCCAGGCGGCTCCAAGACGGCTCCGAGACGCTCAAGACAAGAGGCCGCCCCGACGGCCCAAAGACGGCTCCGAGTCGCTCAAGAGCCCGCCTCGACGGCCCCAGAAGCCCCCAAAGTAGGCCAGGAGGTTCCCAAGACGGCCCTGGAGGACCTCCCAGGAGAGCCCCAAGAGGCCAAAATCATCCCATTCCCTTCGGAAATCGCATTTTTTTTGCATTTGCATGCTTTTCGTTTTCACCGCACCCACGACGGCCATAGAGGCCCCCAAGATCGCCCTAAGATGCCCCCGTGAGGGCCCCCAAACGGCCCAAGACGACCCCAGGACGGCCCAAGAGGCGCCCGGGGCGGCCCAAGAGGTGCCCAAGACGGGCCCAGATGGCCCCAAGACAACCACCCGAGGCAACCAAGACGGCCCAAGAAGGCCCCAAGAGCCCCCACAACGCCTCAAAACGGCCCCACCATGGCCCTTGAGGCGCCCATGGCGGCCCAAGAGACGGCCACAGGGCCCCAAGCGGCCCCAAAACGCTTCAAAACGGCCCCAGCACCGCTCCAGAGGCGCCCGTGGCGGCCTACGGGGTACCCAAGACAATCTCAAGAGCGGCCCAGGGCACCACCGACTCTGGGCCGGCGGGCTGGTGGCCCTGAATCGCGCCAGCCTAGCCTTGCAGCCCGTGGTCGCCGCCGCCGCCGTCTTCGTCGTCGCCGTCGTCGTCGTATTCGTCGTCGTCGTCGTCGTCGTCGTCGTCGTCGCCGTCGTCGTCTTCGTCGCCGCCGCCGCCGCCGTCGTCGGTGTCGTTGGGGGCTCGTTGGGGGCTCCCAGACGGGCGAGCAGCGCTACCTGGCGCCCCGCAACTCAGCGATATGTGGCAGGCAAACATGACGCCACTCATCCTGCTCGCCTTGCGGCAGCACCCCTTCACCCCGCAAGTGGACGTAGTCCACAGGTCAGCCCTAGTCTCTCCTACATTGCAGGAGCACGTGCGTGCGGGAAGGGTCGGGAAGAGGCTGGGGGCTCTCGGCGCCCCGGCGGCCCCAGGACGGTTCCGAGACGCTCCGGAGGCCGCACCGACGGCCCAAAGGCGGCTCCGAGCCGCTCAAGATGCCCCGAAGGCGGCCCAAGAGGGCCCCGAGATGCTCAATGTTCCGGCCAAGACGCCCAAGATTGGCCCAAGGCGGCCCAAGAGCTCCCCAAGACGGCCCAATAGGCCTCCCAAGAGGCCCCCCGAGAGAGCCCGAGAGGCCCAAATCGTTGATTTTCACTGGTGTTTCCGAGGATTTTTGCTTCCTCGCTTTTTCGGTTTCCCGACGCTCCGAAACCCCCCCAGAGGCATCCAAGACCGCTCCAAGACGGTCGAAGAGGTCCCCAAGAGGACCCCAAGACGGTCCAAATCCAATCGCTGGTGTGAGTCGAAGTGGGCCTCGCAGTCGAATAAGAAAAAACGCCACAAGCATAAACTGTCGGATGTCCACGCGGATTTCTTGGATTTGCGCTGGGCCCCCCTGGCGGCGCCTCCGGCGCCGCCCCCGGCGCGCTCCGCGCGCCGGGCAGGGGGGTCTGGCGCCGACCCAGGAAATGCGCGCGGATTCTAAGGCCGACAAGCAACGAAAAAAACGCCCCCAGAAAAATCCGGAAAAATGCGGGGACGCTACATGTACACTTCCATAGACCATGCGGGGCACAAAGCGCCCCCAGAACGACCGCAAAAAATCAGGAACAAAAATGAACGGCTCCCATCACGCTAGCCGCAGCACGTCGCCCGATTCGACCGCCGGAAACACAGGAGAAAGCGCCCCCAGAAAAATCTGGACAAATACGGGGACGCCGAATTAGCGCATCTTCACGCTTCGCATGCCCCACATGCCCTGACACAAACAAACCCCAGACGGCGACGACGACGCAGACGACGACGACGACGACAGGAGTCGCCCGCCAAGAACTTTTGCAGATCTTTCGCTCTGCGAGCGCCCCTTACCATCGCGAAGCCATCTGGGGGCCATGTCGAACGCCTCGGAACCCCTCCTGATGCTCGCTTGTGGCCCTTCTGGCCTCTTGAGGCGCTCTGCCGGCCCTCCAGGATGCCTCTGGGCCATCTTGCATCCGTCTTCGGCCCCTCGGACCTGCCCCATCGGAATGCCAGCGCCTCTTTCGAAGTCTTCCCCCAGGCCCCTGATGGGGCACAGACGTCTCCCCCAGATCGTTCGTGGATCAATGACGCCCACGACAAAGACTCCGTAACCTCGGAGGCCATTATCCATGGCCCCGCGGTCGGCCAAAAAAAGCCCCCCAAGACCGACCACTCCTCGGCCCGCCACGTCGACGGAAAATAAACACCACGCTCGAGGTTTATTCTCCGAGGTCCCAGGTGGACTCCAGGGTTCTGGCGAGACGTCTTTCTTCAACTTGCGCTTTGGCGCTTATTCTGGAGTTCTTGATTTCGTTTCTGCGGCGTTGTGTCTCTACCCTCCCAGTGCATTACCTGGGGCGCGGCCACACCCGCGGAAAATGAACCCAGACTTTGAGGTTTATTATCCGACACCCTGGGGCGGAGCAACTAATCTTCGCCCAGGACGTTCGTCGGCTCGGAAAAATGCCAGCATCAACTCTGAAGGTTTACCCCCAGGCTCCTGATGGGGCACTGACATCTCGCACGGATCGTTCGTGGATCCACGACGCCCACGAAAAAGATTCCGTAAGTTCGGATGCTATTCTCCAGGGTCCCGCGGTCGCTGGAGAAAACGCCCCCAAAGACCATCCTTCAGCCCGCCACGTCGACGGAAAACAAACACCACGTTCGAGGTTTATTCTCCGAGGTCCCAGGTGGGCTCCAGGGTTCCGGCGAGAAGTCTTTCGCAAACCTGCGCTTCGGCGCTTCCTCTGGGGTTCCGGGCTTCGTTTCTGCGGAGATGGGGGCGGAGAAGCAACCAATGCTGTGTCAGAGAAGGGCGGGCAACGGTTTAGGGTTTACACAACGTATTAGCGTCTGCGGACCTCGTAGCGGTTCTAATTGGTCTGCGCCAGTCGGCTTGGCTACGATCCCTCGTAAAACACGTCGGATTTGCATCGCGACGGCAAGATTTCGGGCCTGCCGATGCCGCGATCCCTCGTAAAACACGTAGGATTCGCGTCGCGACGGCTTGCGCGGAGCGCTTGTCGGGCCACCCCGAAGGCGCTTCCGCTCGTGCAGGCTCGCACGGAATTCTTGCCGGGCCGCTCCAGAGCCGCGCCCGCTCGCGCAAGCTCACGCGGAATGCTTGTCGGGCCGCTCCGGAGCCGCTCCTGCTCGTGCCGGCTCGCGCGGGATGCCTGTCGGGCCGCTCCGGGATCCCGCTCGTGCCAGCTCGCACGGAATGCTTGTCGTGCCGTTCCGGAGCCGCTTCCGCTCGCGCCGGCTCGCTCGGAGCGTCGGATATGCTTCGGCGCGCCCATCGGGCGCTCGCGCAAGCTTGCGCTGGGCTCGCTTACATCGTTCGGCATGGTATCGTTTCATTGTCTTTCGCAATGGCACCATTCGAGCTTGCTCAATACGTGGTGTTTTCCGTCTTGAGGGTTTAGGGGTTGGGGTTTAGGGTCCTCCAGCTCGGCGCACCCCTCACACGGCTCGTGGCTGCATACGGAGCGCTGCCCGTCTCCGAGGGTGCGGGCACAAGGGCGCGAAGGTTGCCAGGCCTCGCGCGGCGCAGCGCCGCGAGGTGTTTGGGTGGCACAGGATTTGGGCGTGCTTCCGAGAGGCGGCCCAGGCGATGGACGCAGAGAGGATGCCAGCCTCTGCCCAGGCTCGGGCCAGACGAAATCGGCGGAGGCCGAGTTCACACACGCACGCACACACACAGTTCGCCTTCAGGAGGACTCCTCGCCGCCACGGCTGGACGCAGCAGACAACACTGGTGCGCTTCGACAGGGGGGGGGGCCCAGGCACCGATTCTGACAGCTCCGCATGGGGCTCTTCGGCCTTCCTGACGTTTGCTCGGCGTTCCTTGCCAGATTTGGCCCAAAATCCATTTTATTTTTGGTCGTTCACGAGCCTTCTCCTCGGCCTCTTGGGGCCCTGACGTGTCTCGCTCTTGCAACCTTCCTGGGGGCCTCTTGGACGGAGTCCATGGGTCAGTCCTACCGACTTCGCCAGCCTTCTTCCAGTGTCCACAACCCACGACGACGACAACCACCACCACGACAACGACGCCGTCTACGACGGATACGACGGCGGCCTCGCGGCGGCGACGACAACAACGCCAACGATGACGGCGACGACGGCGGCCCCGCGACGGCCAAGCTGCTGGAGCGCTGCTAGAGCTCGGACGCGTAGGCGCGGTCTCGCTGCCGCCGCCCCGGCCGTCGCCGTGCTTATAGGTTTTCCGCAAATCTCCACTGATCTTCCGAGAACCATTTCACAAAGATGTCGTGGACGGAGTCCACGGGTCAGCCCTAGTCTTCTCTACAATGCAGGGGCCCGTGCGTGCGGGAGCGCAAAATGCCCCACAACGGCTCCGGGGACGCCCCAGAGGCGCTCACGCGGCCCCAAAGGTGCCCAGGACGGCCCCAGACACCCCCAAGACGGCCCAAGAGCGCTCCAAGAGAGCTCAAGACCGCCGAACACGGCCCCGACAAGGCCCAGGAGGCCTCCACGACGGCCCCAGAGACGCTCGCTCAAGAGGCATCCCAGGATGGCCCCCACAGGTCCAAATCATTGTTTTTCCAACGAAAAACGTCAAATTTTACCACACACTGCTTGTCGGGAGTATGGCGCAGAAGATGGGACAAGAGGCCCCCACGACCGCCCCAAGACGGCCCAAGAGGCCCCCCAGAGGCACGAAAACCGGCCCGCGAGAGCGTCCAGAGACCCAAAAGCGCCCAACACGGCCCCCAGGCGGCCCCAAGAGGCTCCCAGGAGGCGCCCAGGA